TGCTTACAAAATTTTTTGCTAAATTCTTGAAAAAGAATATGAGAAAGCCTAAGTTGAGTAAAAAAGGTAAACAACCTTTTGTTAAGAAATCCACTAACCAAGTTGGTCAAGTTGCCTTCTCGGAATGATTTTCAAGAGATAATAACAAGAAAAACAAAGGCATCAGGTGTTATGAATGTGAAGGGTATGGACACATTCAGTCAGAGTGTGCGAACAATCTAAAGAAAAAGGGAAGCCATGGTTGCCACTCTAAGTGAAAGTGATGACACTGAGAGTGGATGTGATGACACGAATGAGGATGAGAATTTCCTAGCCTTCACAGCAAACCAAGAGAACAATAGGAGTGTGTCCTCAGAAGATTCAAGTAATGTTTATAAATAACAACAAGAGGCTTATGACAAAATGTATGAGTCATGGGTAAAAGCGATCAAAAAGATCAAATCTTTTGAATCTGAAAACTGTACCTTAATTGAAGATAAGAAAGTGTTGAATGATAAGTTGAATGCCTTGTTTGTTGATTTATCCAACAAGGAACTTTTGTTAAATCAAGCTTTAAATGAACTAACTGAGGCCAAGGCCATTGTTGAAAGATTGAATGCAAGTTCTTATAAACTTGATGAAGTTCTTAGGCAAAGGAAGTCTTTTGGTGACAAAACTGGATTGGGTTTTTCTCCTGGAGCAAGTTCTTCCAAACCTGGTGTGACCACTTTCATTAAGGTGAGCACCTCAAAACCAGTTGTGACCACAACAGTTAACATAATTTCAAACCTAAATTTTGTTGCCGCACCTTCCAATCAGACCTTGAAGGTAAGAAAATTTACCCCTGTTTGTCATTTTTGTCAAAAGAAATGCCACATTAGACCAAATTGTTTCAAGCTCATTTCATACTTGAAAAGGTGCATTGGAAATCATGTTTTTCCCTATCAAAAAACCCCGCATCAAAACAATTTTTTTTCAAAAATAGAAAAATATGGAGAGCTAAGCCTAGTACCGACTGTTTGGTTGCTTATACATCATTGCTTGCATTTCAAAATGACCAATGGTACTTTGATAGTAGGTGTCAAGGCACATGACAAATAACAAAGGTTTGTTGACTGATCTTGAATTTGTTGAGGCGGGTCATGTGACCTACGATGATGGCAAAAGAGGTAAAATCCTTGGCAAATGATCTATTGTAATTCCTGGTTTCCTTGTTCTGAATGATGTGTCCTATGTTAAAGGTCTTAAAGCTAATCTCATAAGCATAAGTCAAATCTGTGATAAAGGTAGTGTTGTGAAATTTTCAAAAAATGTGTGTCAAGTTTTGAATGATGATAGTACTTCTATTCTTGAAGAAAAAAAGATCAAAGGATAATTGCTATCTTTTGACTAACAAAGTTTCGTGTTTAAGTTCCAAATCAAATGATATTGATGTTTGGCATAAAAAACTTGGACACATAAATTTTAGAGATCTTGTGAAACTCTCCAAAAAGGATATTGTAAAAGGTTTGCCAGAGCCAGTGTTCCCAAAAGGTAAAGTTTGTGGGCATTGCCAACAAGGTAAGCAAACTATGCCAACAAGATAAGCAAACTAAGTTTCCTCACAAATCTTTGTCTCAGTTGAATACCTCATTTGTTTTAGAACTTCTTCATATGGATTTGATGGGGCCTATACAAACTGAAAGTTTAGGAGGTAAGAGATATGTCTTTGTGTGTGTTGATGACTTTTCTAGATTCTCTTGGGTTGATTTTTTAAGGGAAAATCTGATACATTTGAAGTCTTTCAAAATCTGATTTAAAGACTTCAAGTTGAACAAAATTGCGGGGTGAAGAAAGTTGTGAGGATAAGAAGTGATCATGGAAGGGAGTTTGAGAACACTGATTTTTCCAGTTTTTGTGATTCGCAAGGTATATGGCATGAGTTTCTACTCCAAAAACACCTTAACAGGATGGAGTTATGGAGAGAAAGAATAGAGTTCTTCAAGAAGGGCAAGAATTATGTTAAATGACAAAAAATTACCAACAAGATTGTGGCCTGAGGCAATCAACACTGCATGTCACATTGCAAACAAAGTTTTTCTAAGGAAAGGTACCTCTCAAACTCCATATGAGTTATGGAAAGATAAGAAGCTTGATCTATTATACTTTCATATTTTTGGGTGCAAGTTCTATGTGTTGAATGATAAAGATCCCCTAGGAAAATTTGATTTCAAAAGTGATGAAGGTGTTTTTCTCGAATAGTCTTCAAATAGTAGGGCATATAGGATTTTCAATATGAGAACTCAATGCATAATTAAATTATTTAATGTTGTTTTCTTTGATTCAGAAGATTTCTCACAATTTTCTATAAAGATGATATTGATGGCTTAACATCACCTTCTAATGTGATCATTGACCGTGACAATGTGCCCACTCCAAGTCCTCCAAAAGATGTGACCACATCAAAATCTGAAGTGAACACCTCTGCAGCTCAACAATGATCTCTCCCAAAGAGACAAAGACTTGAATTGATTGTTGATTTATCTGATGAAATCACTCAACAAAAGACACCCAAAACCAGAGAACCACCCTCATAGATTAAAAAGGCTCATCCACCATCTACAATGATTGAAAATCTGGATGAGGTAATGGTCACTAGACATAAAAAATTGAGTGAAATTAATAGCCTGTGCTATGTTTCCCTTTCAGAACCTAAAAATGCAAAGGAGGCTCTTGAAGACGACTGTTAGATTACTGCCATGCATAAGGAGCTGAAACAGTTTGAGAGAAATGATGTATGGAAACTGGTTCCCAGATCTGAAGGGATTAATGTTATTGGAACGAAGTAGATTTTTAAGAATAAATCAGATGAGTTTGGAAACATTGTGCGAAACAAAGCAAGACTTGTCACACAAGGGTATACTCAAGTTGAAGGAGCTGATTTCGATGAAACTTTTGCACCTGTGGCTAAACTTGAATCCATAAGATTAATGCTGGGAGTTGCCTCCTACATGAAGCTGAAACTTTACCAAATGGACGTGAAAAGTGCATTTTTTTAACAGAATGCTGATGGAAGAAGTCTATGTTGAGCAACCAGTAGGATTTCAGGATCCTCATAAGCCTGATCATGTGTTCAAACTTAAGAAAACACTCTACAGTTTGAAGCAAGCACCGAGAGCATGGTATGACAAGCTGACTTCCTTCATTCTTGATAATAATTTCATCAGAGGTAATACCGACAAAACCTTCTTCATAAAGCATGAAAGAGGTGAATTTTTGTGTGCTCAAATTTATGTAGACGATATTGTTTTTGGTTCCACTTCACATACTCAATTGGAAAAATTTATTGCTTTAATGAAAGATGAATTTGAGATGAGTATGGTAGGAGAACTAAGCATGTTTCTTGGTCTTCAAGTCAAACAAATTGATTGTGACATGTTTGTCTCTCAATCTAAGTATGCCAAAAACATGCTTAAAAGATTCAATCTCAAATCTGCCAAGCATGCCAACACTCCAATGAGCTCTTCAAGGATGAAAAAGGTAAAAATGTTGATAATAAGTTATTTAGAAGCATGATAGTGAGTTTCTTATACTTGACAGCAAGTAGGCCTGATTTGTGCTTTAGTGTAGGTGTGTGTGCAAGGTTTCAATCTAATCCTACTGAGCTTTATCTTAAAGCTGTTAAAAGGATTATGAAATATGTTGTTGAAATATCAGACTTTGGGCTTTGCTTTTCTTATGATTCTAATCCTACTTTTGTGGGTTTTAGTGATGCTAATTGGGCAGGTTGCTTGGATGATAGAAAAAGCACATCTGGAGGATGTTTCTTTCTCAGCAACAACCTGATCACCTGGTATAGCAAGAAACAAAATTCAATCTCACTCTCCACAGCCGAAGCTAAATATATCACTGTAGGGAGTTGCTGCACAGAGGTTCTTTGGTTAAAACAAATGCTATGTGATGATTTGATCAAGAATGCATAACTGTCTTTTGTGATAGCACTAGTGCAATAAACATTTCTAAAAATCATGTTCAGCACTCCAGAACCAAACACATTGACATTAGGCATCATTTGATAAGAGACTTAGTTGATGAGAAAATGATCACTCTTGCACATGTTAACACAAACTCTCAACTTGCTGACTTGTTTACTAAGACTTTAGACTTGCAAACTTTTGTAAATTTGAGGAAGTCCATTGGACTTATTCAAATTGAGTAGTGTCTCTATCTTATCTTTAAATGCCATGAGACAAATTTCCATCTTTTTATTGTTGCAAGTATTCTTTTAATTTGTGTTGGCGATTGAGATTTTTTTTTTCAGTCTTGTGTTAGCATGCTACTGAAATGTGTCCACCCTGTGCTTTCTTATTAAAAGCTTTTGTGTCTTAAAATCTCTCCATGAGTTTGTATTGCTTGACTTTGTCACCAAGTGAAAGAGCTACCTTGCTTGTACTGTTAAAGTCATAAGTGAGTAATCCTCTAGGATGTAGTGATCCCTATGTCCTTGGAAGTCTACCTTTAGAGGGCTCCCTCCTTGTAAGTGTGAAAGCTACACTTGATTGCTATTTGAGAGATTTTATTCTATTTAATGCCTAAAATATTCATTAAAAAGGAAATAAAAAAGAACTCAGTTGAATTGATTTGTAAAAAGAGCATGAGGGAAGGGGGAGACAAAATATGTTTATTTGACCAATGAGTCAAGCTTCCATTTGAGGACACCACACACACTTATGATAAAGAATCTATGCATTATTGCTCATCGATTGACAAAAGAAATAACCGCTCATGTGTGAAAGTGACTTAATTGAGATTATTTCTTTGGCATCCCATAGATTGGTGATCTTTTCTCTTATGTCACACTGATTGACAATACTTGTTTTTGTAAAAATTTGTTTATGAAATTGATCTCATGGTAATTTCCTTTTCATTTTTATTTGTTTTGTGTATGTTGTCTTTTGCCTTGGTCTGAAGTCACCACTTTGAGAGTTCTTGTGTGTACATGCCTGTAGCTTTCTGACTTTGATTTCTCTCTTAANAATCTCTATGCGCTACAATTGAAACTATGAAATCTTTATACTTTGTGATCACAATGCAAACACTCATGCAGTGCTCCAAAGTATGTGACAAACAATTCAGAAATAAATAGTTCTACGAAAGCTGAAGGATTAAAGACTTGAATAAATTATAATTACGTCCTCAGCCACAAGATCGTGAATGAGTCCAAAAACCTACAGTTAAACCAGAAAGCAGAAGCAATCGTTACAAAGAAAACATTTCATTTTCAAATTTGTAGTCATCAAAAGAATATAATAGACACCTACAAAAGAACTGACCAGTATACACTCAAAACTCAGCCAAAGGTACTTAAAGATAAATGAACTAGTTAATACAAGACAACAAAACTATAATATACAAATCAGACATCAAATTACAAACATAAAATCCTCCTCCACAAAGGCTGTATATAATCTAAAATCAATGATCTGCCAATCCTTTCATATTCCACTCTTATCCATGACTTGATTCTAAAACGATCACAACAAAATTATAAACCATAAACCCATTTTCAGGAAACCATTATAGCAATTAACCCTAGCATAAACTGGAAGATTTCATTGCCGTTTTGTTTTTTTTATTGTAATTGTAATCAAACACACATTTATATAAAACATATGATCATCAAAAACATTAACCAAAAAATTTAAAAATATTTTCTGATTTCAAATCTGTGCATGTTTTAAAGTAAATTCAACATCTTTAATTCATAATCTAAATCGTCACCAACCACATAAACATAAAAAATCTAAAAATGAACGGATAAATTAATAATAAATAAATATAATATACCTAAAAATTGGATAAGAAATCAGAAGTAAGCAGATCAATTCCAAAAAAAATGGAAAGCGTTAAAATTAAGGCGATGGGAGGAGAAAAGACAAGAGATTGAAATTCCAATGGATGTAGATTGGATTTCTTTATTAAAGAAATCCAATCTACATCCATTGGAAATTGAAGGAGTTGTTTGAGATATATAGGCGGTGTGAGAATCGGCAGGTTTTAATAAAATAAAAATATGAAGTACAGATAAGGTGGAAATGGAAATTGAAATTGAAATGAAATGCACTTTTTGAAAGGTCATTTTGGTAGTCAAGATCATTTATCAGGGAAGAAAAAGTTTATACTACCAAACATAATCATGAAGCAAAAAAAGACTCAACCAAACACTTTTATATTACCACTGAAACTTTCAATAAAAAATTGCACAGAAAATAACTATATGAATCATTATTTAATACTTAAACATCCACCAACCAAAGAGAACTTAACAAATAGTTAAATATTTAGTTAGAGATGAACACAACCCTTTAAGTACTTTCGCAAGGCTAATCCCTTCGAAGTCAAAATAAGCAAAACGAAGAATAGTTCCAATCAGAGTAAAACATACCATTGATTCCACTCTTTGTGCTCCCACTGCTCCGTGTTTCTAACAAAACAAAACAGATCAGCACACTATTAAACTAATTTTATAGATTATGAATCACTAAATGAAATCCTTTTATTCTTACTTTGAACTATGGGTGGCAACTCTGTAGCAGTGGCTTTGATGGGTTGAATACTCTTGGCAACTGAGATTCCAAGCTCAGTTCAGTCAACAACAACCAAACGGAGGTTCTAAAAAATGAAGGCAAAAACAGAGGACGGCAATCGGACCTTGAGACAATCGGAGGAGGAATAAGAGAAGTCGGCGGCGCGTGAAAGAGAAACGGTGGACGTAGATCTAAGGAGAGAAGAGAAAGCCATTTGTTGAAAATAACAGTGCCACTTTTCCCAAGGCTTCTCTTTTTAACAAGCAGAAACCCTAATAAAGAGGAACAGAAAAGAAAAGAGAGGGCTGGCTTTTGAGTTTTGAGAGGAGGCAAGCAGGCAGTGGCCAAAATACGAAATGAAGTGTTTTTAAAAGCAAAAGAAAACAATTGTTTTTTCCTCAGTTTTGGGTTAAGAGTTGCAGAGAATCTCAAATCCATAATAAGGAAATTAAAGTCTAAGATGTCAATAAGACCTCTAAGCCAACAAAGTGAGGATACCTATAATAATGACACCAAAATTTCAATTTATTTCAAGCGGGAACATGGGCGTTCAAAATTTATCATACATTTGACAATTAAAATCTTAGTTGCCAAAAGAAAATAATTTACAACTAATTAATTAGTTGTGCAACAGTAATTTTAGTCACAAATTAAAATAATATTTTTTTCATTTTACTAGGAAAGTTGGGTTAAAAAAAAATTCATCAACTTTTAGCGACTAAATACATTTTAGTTGCTATACATGAGTTTTTGCAACTAGTTGTAATATGCACAAAATAATTAGTTGTCAAATGTACCCGGGCCCTTTGTAATTATTGTCAAAAGCTTAGATATTTCGGTAATTGTATTATTTTGTAACTAATAAAAATACTTACAAATTAATTAATAAATATTTGCATCTAATTTAGCAACTATTCAATAGTTGCAAATAATTGTTTTCTGTAACCATAATTTTAGTTGCAGAATCTCTTGTTGTAGTTGCCAATTGTGTTCGCGTAAGAATTGGCAACCAAATAAATTAGTTGCTGATGTGATATTTTGGGCAACAAATCACATTAGTCGCAAAATATTAATTTTAGACGCTAAAGGCGAGAATAAATGGGCCCTAAAATTTTATTCCCTTTGGCCGACTAATTAAAATTTAGTTACTAAATGTGGGGTATCTGCAACTATTTTTGCCTAGTTGCAAAAAAAATGGTTGCAAAAAGTGCTTTTTCTTGTAGTGAGTATACTTATCGCTAGCTATTAGCGATTCGTGCACTTGTGAGTATTAAATTTGCACATCATTAAGTCGTAGGTAGCTTAATGTATGCAATGCTATGTACAAGATATGATATAGCTTATGCTATAATTGTTACGAGCAGATATCAGTCAAATCTAGGAAAGAAACATCGGTCAGTTGTAACATTGATCCTCAAGTACTTAAGAAGAACTGAGGATTTGATTCTAAGTTATGAATGTTCAGAATTAAACATTCAAGGATACTCAGATTCTGATTTCCAATCAAATATTGATGATAGAAAGTCTACATCATGGTTCATTTTTATATGTAATGGAGGTGCTGTTAGCTGGAAAAGTTTCAAACAGACAACTACAGTAAACTCCACTACAAAAGTTGAATACATTGCTACTTCAGAAACAGCAAAAGAGGTTGTTTGGATGCACAAGTTCGTATCTGAACTAGGTGTGGTTCCAAACATGGCTTACCCAATAAGCATGTTCTATGATAATACTTGAGCTATTGCACAGGAAAAGGAACCAAAAATCCAAACATATTCAACGAAAGTATCACATTTTGAGAGAATTCGTTGGAGTTGGAGAGATTATAATACTGAAGACACCTTCAGCAGAAAATGTAGCTGATCCACTGACTAAGGCGATGACACAAAAGCAATTGGACCATCATCTTGAGAAGATGGGTATGAGATACAACAACGAATAGTTTTAGTGTAAGTGGGAGTTTGTTAGTGTATGCCCTAAAACCATTCGTGTTGTCGATTTCAGAGCATTTTATCTTGTATCAATATTTTATAAGCTTCCTTTATTTTTTCATGCATTTAAAATAAAGTATGTATATGAATTATCTAGATAATTCATTTAATAAGTAAATGAATTTATCAAAAGGTTCCCTGCGGAAGCAATATTATTTGGGCAACAATATTGCATAGTAGGCATACTAAATGTTTTCAAAAGATATCATGAGTTGATATAAGTACGGATGACGATGATAATCATGTCACTAGGGCATTAGTATGGATTAGCGGTTGGTGAACTATTTTTCGAACGTGACCGAATAACGACAAATCAATTGGAAAATCACGTAGTCAATGATTTATCATTTGGTTATATCAGTACATGATGTAGTCCTTTGACTTGAGACATCGCAATCGGATGCATATAGTTCATATGGTGTATAAGTAAGAGACTAGTCATGTTTCGTATGATAAAGCTTATTTGGTCATGCATCGTTCATATGCATAAACAAACAATGGTCAAGACAAGAACCATTGACTCGAAAATATAGGATCAGGAGTACTGCTGACTCCATCCGATACGAGTTCCTGGACAAACGTGGATAAATGTCGGAAACCAAAACCTTTAGCCAGAGTATATCATTAGTCATACGAAAGTAAGTTCGTGATCACAAGTTCCAAACATATTGATTAACGATTCAAAAGACTATCGAGTTTAGGATTTTGGTGTTCCATAAATTCATGCTCGATCAAGGTATATCAATGGAGGGACTTTATCTGTATGGCACATATGATCTGAAAAAAGGTTCAATGAAGTATTTTTTTATCATGGTTTAGGGACTATGACACATTGCTAAATGTTTACCATAGTCGTTGGGCCTCCAGACAAGTTTTTAGAAAGATCCAAAACCGGCTCACAACTATTCCACAGTGGACCTACATGGTCAAACCAATAACCTTATGCAATTAGAGAAAAAAGAGGATAAAGAAAAGATTATCCGAAGAAGGCTAGCACCTTTCGGGTGTAATAATGGAATTTCTATGTAAATCGTTACATAGAATTATTCATGACATTTTAAAGGTTAAAATGGTTAAGCTATAATTAATTGGATTTAATTATAATATCTTAAAGGGTTAAGATAAATAAAATAAAAAATGGGTCAAATTACTAAATGCTTGAGTTCAATTAAAAATAAGATTTTCATAAGGGCATGCAAGTAAAAACTGGTAATTAAAATTTTGCCCTAGTCTATATAAGTGAAAGGAAAATGGATTTTAGAACATAATTTTCTTTTCTCTTATCTATCTACCTCTTGGCTCTCTCTCTTGCCTTGGTGGTGTTAAAGTGTGGAGGATTCATCCTTTTGGATCTTGGCTTCATCAAACCTTGGCACTAGGAGAAGGTTTAACCCATTACTTGTTCCATGTACGTGTTTTTTCATTCCTAGGTTCTATATCTATGCTTGCATGCTTGTTTTTCATGCTTGCCATCTTATTTCCACCACTACTTCATATCTTTCAAAAAATGTAGCATTTTCATATATTTATAAAATTTGATTGTATTTTGTATCCCCAATTCATTTAGCAAAGGTTAAAGCGACGCCGGAATTGGCAAAAATTCTCCAAAAAGTTGACACCAACTTAGATGATCTACATGCTGCCAAAGAAAAATTCAAAGAAGTAATTGACCAAATGTTAGACATCATACAATCTGTCATGGATATTATTTATGATATAAACACAAGAAAGTATGCATTTGTTGTAGAGGAACTGAAAATCTTAAGGAAAATAAAAATATATTAAATAAATTTCAAGTTACTGATTGCTTAATATTAAACTAACTACTTGATTCTCTATATGCTACTTTATTTTGCTTTCACTCTTAATCTTTACCAAATCCAACAATCCCCATAATAATACCTGTGGGAAAAATATGCTTAACAATTATTATGGCTGAAAATAAGTAGTTTATGTCATTACCATAAACTTGTTTACAAACTGTTTCAAAAACATCCAATAAATATACCCGCGCAACATGCAGGCTTCCCATCTAGTTTATTATCGAGTTAAGAATGTTTAATAACAAAAATCCTCTAGATGTTTAAAATAACAAAAAAAATTCTTACCTTTAATAATTTTTTTGTAAATTGTTATTATTATAGGTGGATAAATATTTATCGAACTATTCAGGCTATTCATTTAACACTTAAAACTTAATTGCGAAAAATTTATGTCATTTCAAAAACTTCAAAGTTGTTGTTCAACCTAAAACTATACACATGGTTAATGGAAAGCATGTTGTCGAATGTCAAAGATCTAATCATCAACAAGGAAATGACACCGAAATCACCAAAACGAGATCGACATAGTCATCACTTAATGAAACCTTGAACTTGTTGGATGTGATTTATACTTTGCACAGGGTTAACACCGACACATTCAGGGGTCCCGCTCCTTGGTGAGTGTCATAGTGGAAAATCTAATGTGAGAAATAGAGAGAAATAGTGAATTACCGATACTTTTTATTATCGTATTATGCAGATATAAAACTACTCTATTTGAATACTGGACGTAATTCCTTTATTGGAATGAGCCAGTGTAAATCGACTATTTTTTTCTTACTTCTATGTTTTCATTATTGTGTTTTGACTGTGATTTCAACTGAACTTAGATTCGAACGTCTCTAACTCAAGTCCACATTCGAAACGTCAACAATACTATTAGTAAATTTACATGTATTAATCTCATTAGTATGTTAGTATAACAAGTAATTAATTAATTACTCTTAATAATATGTGATAAAGAGTAGTACTATTAATTAGTTCTTTTTTTTTTTTTTTTTTTTTCCAATATCATTATCCTACTTATTAATTGTTTATATATATTACAAGAGTTACCATATATATAACATGGTAAAGTAAAAAATTAAACTTTATTTATCTACATAATTATCTAAACCTTATCAATAATTAAAAACCATTGGCCTCAGCTCATCCCAGCCTCTTCTTTGAAATTTCACATCTCCTTCTGGTTCGAGAAGCTTAATGCGATGAAGCATAACTGGATACTGAAGATCAGTTGTCAAGGTCTTCAGATGGCCGGCAAAGGACAGCTTATATCCTTGATCCATGCTATACTCATCAGAAGAGGCTTAATAGACTTTTCACTGCTCGCCGCCATTGCAGTTAAAACTCCATAGCTCATCATCTTCATTCTATTATTATTATTATCTCCTTTGCATTTGTCTTCTGCCTGGACTGATCTGTTGCAGTCCTCTTGTAAGAAGTATCACGTTTAAAGACTCTGCATAATGTCCAAACTTCCTGCATGCCACAAGTGCACATTTCAAAATACATATATTACAATAAAAAAAAAAAAAAAATTAAATAATCACAAGATCGATAATTCTATCATCAGCTTGAGAGTAAGCTTAGGTTGGGGTCCATGTTGATACATCTATGCTTCACTAATCATATTATAAAATTTCAAGACG